ATTCTTGAATGTTTTGACAGTATGATATTACCAAAGTAGTAGGAAAAAAGGGAATTATCATTTGGAGAGGACAGAAGTCTAACAAAAACTGAAATTAAACCTAAATTGCATGTATATTTGATGGGAAGAAAAGTTTTGGGAATGTCAGTGAAAATATGTCAGATGGCACAGCGGTAAGGACGCCTGATAAATTTATGCTACCGATATCACATGCTGAAAATTCCGTGTTTCTACCAAAATACTCTGTGGAATCAGGCTGTAATCAAAAAACAAAATTGGTAAACCAAAGGGAAATGCTTTGTGGACCATCAAAATCTATCATTCTTGTGGCGGTCCTATTTATCCAGGTAATAAATTATATAAAGCTACTTCACCTAAACTCTATGCATTTATAGACGAAGTGATACTTTGAGAAGAAACGGAACTGAAAGCAAGCTCAATTCATGAAAAATCAATCCACTTACACGCTTTCCCATCCCACATTCTTAAGCATTCCCAGTGGAACATAGGATTTCAGGTTTGGGCAGTAATGATTCTTGTTTACAGAGTGGGGTTGCTAGCCTCATGCCTAACCTTCCCTCTTTATAGGGCTTACAATCGACTAAAGGAGGTAAAGGTGTGCACTGGTTGGGAATCAAACCCTGGATCACGTGAGGTGTGGTCAGCTAGTATTCTACAGCGCAACCACCAACGCGCACAATCCTCTAACACAGTCATAAGCAATCTTTACAATAGAAATCACTTTCACTAAATAAGATTAAACACTGTATTTAAGAGTATTCAGTATTCATAATAACTAATTATGAAACTATACATAACAAAAGTGATCCTGTAGTCTTAATTTGAAAGTCACAGTGTTCTACTCATGGCGAAAGATGAACAATGTTGTCATTGTATGATGACTCATAAAATGTAGGGAAAGATGAGTCGAATTCATGAATTAGAAGGTAAGACCATGACTGTGGCCTAGTGTCATGTAACTGGAAGATTAATTTTCATGGATTCAAATGAGGTTTTTGATAGTTACAAACTATAACTCTAAAGGTCCAAAGCAAAGACTTATCGGAAAGGCAAGATACACCTTCATCAACCTGAAACCAGTTTGGAGATCTTCTGCACTCCAAAGCACAAAGAACAAGATTCGAATTTTCAACACCAATGTCAATTCGGTCCTTCTTTACGGGTCAGGAACTTAGTGTGTAATGAAAAGGATTTCCAACAGTTTGAAGACTTTCAATAACAGCTGCCTTCGCTCCATACTGAAGACCAAATGGCCATAAAGAACTAGCGAGGAGAAACTCTAGCTGGGAACTAACCAACAGGGAGGAGCCGATCGCTCAACAAATATGTAGGAGAAAATGGAGATGGATCGGACATACATTGAGGAGGCTATCGAATGAAATCACATGCAATGCAGGCCATCACTTAAGTGGAATCCCAGTAGGAAGGGATGAGTGGGTCGTCGCCGCGAGGTTGACATGAAGGAGATAAGAGATTATGGGCAATCGTGGGGTAAGCTGAAGAGGACAGCAGAAAATAGAAGAAAGTGGAGATGTGATGTTGAAGCCGTATGTTCCACTTGGAACCCAAGGGAATAGTAATGTAATAAAGACAAATCAAAGACATAATCAGGCTATAAATTTATTTCATCTGAACCAAGATTTTAACATTATGGCTGCACAAATTCATTGCGTCTTTATGTGACGATTATGACGCATGATTGTTGCAGTGAATGATGGCATGATTAGCAGCTAAGTTTCTTAACTCAGCCTTGACTGCTCTAGAACAATAGTTATCGATTAAGATGGCTAGGACATGTCCTACGCATGTCTAACCATCTCCTCCCTTAACGCGGGCTGTTAGCTGACACAGGATCAGGTTGGAAAAGTGCTAGTGGTGGTCAAACGAAAACATGGCATCAGTCAATGTGATCCATAACAGTTAGTTTAAGCCAGTCACATCAAGAGATGTGGACTGCCCGACTGGTTGGGGTCCTCAGGATAATAAAAACTAATGGCTGGAAACAATCAATGATATGACTCAAAATCGTTCTCAATGGATGGTGGAGATGTATTCACTCTTTGTGATTTGTTGTATCCAATAAAATTCTATTGTTCTTCCATATTACTATTCTTTTTGCCTCATATATTTGTTTATTACCTCTGTTTTCGATTTCTCTCTTTACTGTCTTCGCTAGCTTTGTGTGCTACATGGAGAGAGTGTGGCAACTCGAACTTCTGCGCATCTGTGCAAAAATCTATGTTGAAACCAGTCGGGCAGTCAGTCAGAACAATAGTTCAGAGGCAATTGATTCCTAGTCTTCTGCGATGTATATCTTCATTCCGCCTTTCATCAACAGTTATTATAGGAGTGAATTTATTGAAATGTCCATTCCCTGATTTATTAATATTTGTCTTTTGACAGTAAAGTTGTTCTCCTCATACAAAGTTATAAAAGAAAAGACGTTCAGCGAAGAGTTACTCTTTTTGGCGGTATCATTCTCAAGTTGTAGAATCACACATATATAGCTAGTACTTCAAAGATTTGTCATTAGAATTGTAAATTTTAGTTAACAAATCGCATAATATAGAAAGATTTAATCGCGTAGAAACTAAAGTAAAATTATTAGAAATGTAAGTTTTAGATGATAAATTTCGTCAGTGGGTTAGAAACTAAATTAAGATTAAATAGGCTGGGTGATGTCATCCAATTGATGGGGCTGAGTAGAGCTCAGCTAAAATTAAAACCGAACAAAAGTCAAGTTAAAAACAGTGGTAATAAGGGGTGGAGGAAAAATATGATAGAATTAATAAACAAACAAGCAAGAAAAAGACGAAACAAAAATACATATTTGGTGTATAGATAGAACAGGTCCACTGTGACTGAACAAGCTTCTTTTGTATGCAGAGTTCAGGTTTTACCATGTGGATTGCTATTGCTTCTTTAGTTTGAAGAAGTTCGATCCGTACTCTTTTAGCAAGATTCCCACTTACTCTGTAGATGACTTTGAAGGTACTTTGTGAGTTTGTTTGGGGCTCCGATTCGATCAGGTGTTCCAGAATAGAGCTTCGGAGAGATGGGGACCTTCTTTCTCTTTTTTGAAACCATGAGGGTAAGTGTTCAATGATACGTTACAATGACAGACGCTGGGTAGGGCCGATATACCTAGCTCCACAACAGCAAGTGAATTGGTAGATTCACATTGATGATGTTAACTTACCCTTCACGTTCATGTGAATCATTGGTTTTGTACAGAAGGTTAGTCGAAGTTCAGCGGCGAAGAAGTTTCTCTTCAGTGAGTGGGACAGGAGGTTTCTCAATATTTCTGCCAATGAGTCTCCATTGAACTGTAGATTCAGGAAGAGAAGTTTTTTGCAAGTAGAAAGTATGGGCGGTTTTGGTGGTTTAGGTTTCACAGATTTTGTGATGAAACGTCCTGGGCAGCAGTTTTCTAGGAAGATTCTCTTCAGAGTGTTTAACTCCTCTTCTATAGTATCAGGGCTGCAAATGCTGCAAATTCTGTGGCTCAGTGAATGGATCAGGTTTCGTTTTGTATATAGGAGCACCTAACGGTAGGAGTTAGCATTTTTTCCGTTCCATGTCGGCTTTCTGCAGATAGATCTTCTCAGTGTTAGTTATAAAACTCAGTGACCATTCTAAAAATTTATGACGGAATCCAAATGAATTCACTTATCTAGGCAGTAGTATCGCATCAACTACCAATGATAGAACGGATGAGGATTTCAGAGTCAGCCACTATGAAAAAAGCAAGACTGACCTGTATTACTATGAAATCGGCTTCAAAATCTGCCACACTCAATTAGTATAAAGAACAGGATTCGAATCTTCAACACCAACGTTAAGCCAGTCACTTCTTCTATATGAGTCAGAAAAGCACTTTCAAAAGGCTACTGCAAATTTTCATCAACATCTGCATTCGCTGGTTTCATACTGAAAGTCTAATGGCCAGCCAGAAAGGATTAGAAACAAAAAAAACTCTGGGAACGAGTCAATCAAGAACCTTTCGCCCGATAAATATACCGAATAAAATGGAGATCAACTGAACATACGCTTAGGACACTGTTGAGTGACATCGCGTACTAGGTGGCCGCTCGAGTGATACTCGAGTGAGAAATGACGAGTTGGGTGTATGTGTGTTCAAGGGTGACATAAAAGAGATCATGTTAGACAAAGAAGATGTCACTTTATGAGCAGTCGTGTGGCCAGCTCAAAAAGACAACAGAGGACAGGATGTTCTGTTGAAGCCGTATTTTCCACTTGGAACCCACGGGAATAATAATATTGATATATAAATTCTCTTTTCAATTATTGGTTTTGTAGGGATTTTGTTTGACTGAATGGAGGATCACATTATGAGGTGACATCAGTTAGAGAACTATTGGAAAACCTAGGAGTACTGGACGGCTGTTTCGTCCTATGAATCTATGATTCCTTAAGATCGATTCGTAGTAAACTTGAACAAATCAAGAACAACAAATATATCAGGCTAATATCCTCCAACCAATCAAACAAAATCCCTACAAAAGCAGTACATGAAAATTGATCTGATGCTCACGAGCGACTGGCCCTATTCAGGTAGGTAGTCAGTTACCTGGGTTCTAGAGGGAAGCCGTGACCAGTAAAGTGCAGCAGGTTGAAGGTGAGGACAGTTACTCATCGAAGAAGACACTGGATATTGGTCGTGCTATGTCGTGAATTTGCAGAAGTTGGAATTCATGGGCTCTGGCCATTAGATCGGATCCCAGTGGCCCAATGGTCTACGAGCTCGCTAGCCTTGGTGGGTATGTGTTGATGAAGAGTCTCAAACTAGGAAGAAACACCTGTCCAGCACTTCCAGTAGGTTTTCCAGTGGTTCTCTAACTAAAGTCAGATCATGATGAAATTCTCCATCCAAATTCTCTTTTTCCATTGTTATATTCGTTTTCCTACTGCTCCATACTGATTAATCTTTTATTTATCGATTTATTTATTCCCTTAAGGTGTAAATACTTCAGAGGAAAGAAATTAATGGGAGACTGGGAGATAAAAGTGGAACAAGTAAGTGAAGAGTAGTCATTTAAATTAATCCAAATTTAACCTGCGTATTAATTCTACGCATATATATATATATATATATACGTAGAAAATATTGAATAGATTAAATTAAGCCTAAAATCTACGTTTTCTGATGAATTACTGTAGCGTAAAAAAAGATAACAAAACCCAGAGATATTTTTCTATCGTTATTCAATCTACCATAGCTATTAAACTCATTGATTCTGTTTTGTAAGCAGTTTTCATGTCAGAATGTTTCTCTCTAATTTTCAAGGGTTGATTTGTAAGGATTAGATTTGTTTCTACGAGTTGGACTATATGGATTGATATCAGTTAGAGAACTATTGAAAACCAGCACTTGAGTACTGGATAGCCGTTTCGTCCAAATAATTAGGCAATCATCAGCGGTACGCAGCCACCTCGCCACGGTTCGAACACAGGACATTCTGGTTACAAGGCAAGCTGACTCGTATATCATTCAACCACTGGAACTCGTTTCAGTGGCCGCCAACCCATGAATTCTAACTTCTACACCAATTCGTGATGAATTTAGGTTGACTGGCACCACTCAATGTCATTGGTTGGAAATCCATCCCTACTCCCGACTGAATGGACCTCACTAGTCTCGACTTCTCACTAGAACTTCAAGAAACTCCGTCCTGTAGCCAGTCACTGGTGAGCATCACACTGACTCTGGAGATTCCATTTGAAGGGATTTGATTTCTTCCAAATTTGGTCACGGATTGATATCAGTTAGAGAGATACTGAAATCCAGGGAGTACTGGTAACAAGTAGATGTTGACAAGTGAACTAATCGTATGCATATCGCAATGAACCAACGAGCTACACTGGCTGGAACTTATGTTCCTGTAGGTCCTACCATGCCAGAAAGGTTGTTTGGATAGCGGTTAGACAAAAAGCAGCCACTCAATCCAATACAATGATTCAAACAAACTCACAAAATATCATGCTGGATCGGTCGGGGCCCGGATTAACAACGACTGCGCTTCCTGCTGCTGTGTCACAGGGCAGAAGTGATAAATATGCTACTGAGACACACCAAACAAGAAAGAACATACAAAAACAGGCCGCGTGTGACCTGCCTCAAGCAGTTGTCCCCTGGGCTTTGCGGTCACGCAACACTAATCTTTTCTCTCTCCCCTTCTCAGGCGTGACGCTAGCAACCCCACCCTGTAAACAAAGCTGCTACAGACACTTCAGCACGACGAAATTTATGAATATTCATGGAATTATTCCATATTCAAATCACTTCAAAATGTTTTTGGCTAATGTTTAACGAGACTTCAAATCTCTTCACAACAATGATCAACTTTTTTCAAATGGGAAGTTGTACGAAGTGTAATACCACAGAATATATAATAACAGTAATAATAGTAACGATTAGTTTTATTCCTAGACAGTACTTATGATAATTGCATCGGTGGTACAGCGCTAGAATGCTCGCGAACGACGCATGTGGTTGGAGCTAAATGATGAATTCCTTATCTTCAACGCAACATTTGCACAGATCTTCCGCATTGCCATATTTCTCGCCTTCCTTTATATTGTGTTTATTTGTGTTTCACGCTTTCCATGTATCTCCACAATGCTGTACCATTTGTCTTCTCTGACACCAAATGTATCTCCTTGCTATTTGGTGTTTTTTTATGCCGATGGACGCATATTTATACACTACTAATAAACCTTATCAGTTGCACCCACCACATTAGCACTATTAACACAAAACTGTAAGATAATGTTGTTAGTGAGTCTCACCATAAAATTACAAATATGGGAAAATAATTGGGTCAATATTTTTAAATGCTCATTGTACCATAAGTTGTAAGGTCCACGTTTAACACTATCTCTGTCATATAAAACGCAGGAGGGGCAAATAGAGTGTCGTTGAGTTTATATACTTAGTCGTGCTAGCATATAATCTTTAATAGTAGTGACTTCTAGTCCTACAAATGAGATGCAGCAATAGGTAGGTTGTTATTGTAGAGGGAGGGTGTTGAGAGTCAGACGATATGGATTTGGACTGTTTCTCACATGAGTTTAAGTGTCTGTCAACTGTGGTGGTAACGAGCTAACTAACTGGCACACAACTTATCCTTCGCAATATGACATAATCCTGTTTTTGGGTAGCCCAAGGAAAGACTAAGGGAGAGCGATAAAGGATAATAGATAATCTGTAAAACTTAAGAAACTGTAAAAGTAGGGGTTAAGTGATATCTGTCTGTTTGCCTTAACTTCTTAATGTAGAGAAGATTAGACGAAGCATTTTCTTACAAATCAGCACGATATGGGATGATGACCAAGGGATGTCAGCCGATAGAACTATACCTAGGCATAAATCTGACCTAAACAAACTGGTTGGCTCTCACGAGGTATGCAACATAGATGGCACTGAAATAGAAACCAAGTCGGAGATTAAATACCTAAGCGTCATTCTATCTGCTAATCTTTCCTGGTCGTCTCAGATCTTAGTGATTTCTAAGAAAATATTCCGTCTTACCTTCTACATCAAGAAGTTAAGACATTCTGGTACATTCCAACCCTTACTCCTACAATTCGTTAACTCTCGCATTCTGCCTATTATTCTCTACTGTTCCCCCTTAGTTTTTCCCGGGCTACTGAAGAAAGACTACACCTTATTACGCAGGATGTTAGAGGTTGTCAGCAGGGTAAGCAACGTGCCACTTAACCAGCTTGTTAATATTCTGGTTGACAGGTACATGGACTCATGTAAAAAATGGGCCAAATCCATTTTATCTAACTCACACCACCCTCTTCACTCACAACTCTCCCCTTGCATCTCATCAGGCAAAACCAAAAGCCTATATAGAAAACTATATGCTCGCACTAGCAAGTACAAAATCTCAACCATACCCTACTTAGCTCGTGTTCTGTGCGATAAAGAAAGCATTAGGCGTGACACCTATAATTCATTAAATAGTCAGTAGAACAACTGGACCTCGTCTTTCCAACTCATATCATTTATAGGTACAACATTTTCCTTCTTTTCCCTTTCTCTCTCTCCCCTTCTTTTTCCGTTATGTGCTGCTTTGTTTCTTTCTCTCGCTTACGCCAGTAAATATGACAGCTCCCACTTTTCTAACACCTTCAAACACTGTTTTACTTTGGCTTTGCTACCGACATGCCAATATGTTGTTGTCATAATGAACTGAGATTTCCTTAATCTATGTAGAATTTTGTTCATTAACAATGTACTAACTGGATGCAATACTGTAGTAAAAATGCTGAGAATTCCATTCTGTATCACAAGTACTGTTTTGGAATAAAGTAAATTATTATTATTATTGAATTATTCTCTATATCAGTGCCCTCGAAGCTACAAGCATCGTGTGAACTAATGCGTTCAATAAAATCACATTTATTCCTGAAGGCGAAAGTAACTATCTGACATTTTGAGGGATTTAACGTAAGAACATATCTAGGACAGAAAAAGAAACAAGATCCAGGAATAGCGAAACTCTTAAAATGTTTGCTACACACAAAAGATTTTGTTGATAATAATGTTGACGAAACTTGATGGAGAAATCAATAAGATTAAAAGCATATCATTGAATCATGAGTTAATAAAAAAAAACATAAAATCAATAAATCAATATCATACCAAAGAAAATTGACAGCATTCAAGGTCTTGAGAAGCGAAATCATTCAAGTGTGCAGTTAGTTATTAATCTACCGGCGAAGTTAAAGTATCATAACCGACATCACAGTGACCTTGGGTGACCAATCAGAATTCAAGCGGAAAAAAGTCGAATAATCATTGAAAATATGTATTAAAAACAATGCAAATATGATACTGCACTGGAAAATTGTCTTTTAACCTGTAAAATTTAACATAAAAAAGTAACTAGGGAATAAGTAGAATACTCTGTCTAACCTCATGAACGGATTCCCCTTACAGTATGATTTGGTTTGGAATGACCTACAGTAATGCCCCTTAAATCTGACTGGTTCTTTAAGGTCAACTTTAGGACAGACTTGCCTTTGTCTGTAATACTTCAACTCCCCCAATTTGCCATTAGCCATGTCATGCAGCTGGTGATCAGAAGGTTTGATTGGTTGGAGGATTTCATCGTGAGCTGACATCAGGTAGAGAACCATTGGAAAACCACCTGGGAGTACTGGACAGCTGTTTCGTCCTAGTTTGGGACTCTTCAGCCATTGAATAGAGTCCCAGTGGCTTAATGTTCTACGAGCTCGTTCTCCTTGTAACCAGAAGGTCCTGAGTTCGAAACCCTGTGTGTGAGTGCTGATGAAGAGTCCTAAACTAGGACGGAGGAAACAGCTGTCCAGTACTGCCAGGTGGTTTTTCAATGATCCTCTAACTGATGTCAGCTCATGATAAAATACTCCAACCAATAAATTATTATTTATAAAATCGGATATAGGCATGTTTTTAGAATGTTTAGAATCTTTCTTTGGAATAATAATGTTATCTCAAAGAAACGTTCATGGAATTTATCACAATATTGCATGTAATTTACTGAAAGTATAAATAAAGTTAACCATAGGAACTTTTCCACATTTACGGTAGGAATAATTTCAAAAATATGCACAGTACAAAATGAGATTAATAACTATAATAATAACAGTAGGTTTGTATCAAACAGTATTGTCGTCAAAGCATGAAAATCTTAGAATATTGAATCGAATGTTCTCTTGGCATAGCATGTTGAGGGGAAAAACAAAAAAATAACGATTATTACACAGCCTGAATGGTGTTCACGATTAGGAAAACAAGACGAAAACAAGAGGACTATAAATATAGAAGAAATAATAACAGTAAAACTTGATGGCATGAGGAAGGAAAAGATTGTTACTAGATGGTTGAAGACAATCTCGGTAGGAAGCCCAACCTGACCTAGGGTTCATACTGGTTGGCACTTACTAGTCAGCAAGGCGTATCTGCAACCGTGAGGGAATTCATGTCCATTTTGAGAATCTGTGTCACCCAGTACTTCAGTCAGTCAGAGACTTTACAAATGAACTATTCGGGCTCGCAATCGACCTCCTATAGAACTGTACTGAATATTTTTGATTGGCCACTAGTAAATGACTAGTGTACAATCAAGAAGAAGAAGAAGACGATTGCTTATTCACTAGTGGAAATAAGGTTAGTTAGTTCTTGCCTGATACTATTTTCAACACATAAAATACGTAGCAGATATGGTACCGTGGAATTCTTATTCCTAGACGCACGCCCGTAAAGTCTTTGAATTGACTTCTTGTCTTACCTGGGAAGATGGAAGGTGAAAGCTGCTGGTTAAGTAGATGCTTACGGTCTGACAAAATCCCTTTAGTAAATTTACTGTATGAAATCTAGTGGTCATCAATGATGATGTCAACGATTTCGCCCATCGGGACACCACTACTTGCGCTTCAGAGTTCTACAAAGTATGACACAGTCTTTTTTAAGCAACCCAGGAAAGAATAAGGGTGAATAGTAAAGAAGAATAGGTAAGATGAAAGAACTGACAAACTGTAAAAGAAGGGGTTGAGTTATGCCTGACTGCCTTAACCTTTTAATGTAAAAAGTCAGATGGAATATTTTTTTAAATCGCTAAAAGAAAGAATTAGTACATGATACTTAACTTTAGACTTGATTTCTATATCAATATCATTTACCTCACAATGGTCATGCTAGTGAACAGCTTCATTTAACTTTCTTTTACATCGGAAACTGAAATTGACAGTTTGACATTTGGAAGGATTTAGTTTAAGGCCGTTAGACGAAGACCATTTGTGGACTTCTGATAGAAAGCTGTTAATCTTAGAAGAGTCTAGCTGGGAGTTAACAGACACTGAAATAGTTAGATTGCCCTCACACTTAACAAAGTTCATTTCTTCAGAGTGAGGCAAGACATGCAAGAAGAAAGAAAACTTAAAATGGGGAAAAACAACGCTATTACGGACGCCAGCTTCAGTAAGCGATGAAGTCAACAACTTCCCCTTAAGAACTGTTTACAATAAACATAAGATACTGATTCTCTAAATGATGTCAGATACCTACAGAATCCACCTTAAGCTTAATTAAATCTCTATAAGCCTAATATATTGAAGATATGTCTATCCAAATAAAATAAAATGGTTTGCTTGGTTGTGAATTTTCACGATGCTGCATTGTCCGCCTATTTGGAAGTCTTTTGTGATTAAAGAAGTTCCCAAATCACCTGCTGTAGTAAACCTAACGTAAATGCTACTCACGTTAGTGGCAATTTCCGTGAATTTGTGATTTCTAATATAAGTATATATTTCTCTACCTCATTTACGCTAAATTGCGTTTATGTGTATAATTTCCCTTTGATATTTATTTTATCATTCTTTATCATCGTATTCTTAACCCCTTCCCTACTATAATCCTTTTGTATCTCGACGTTTTCAATCTCACATATAATACTTCTGGTGATACATATTTATTATCTGCATCTCCGTGTAGACATCTCTAAGAAACTGGCAAACTTGCCCATCTTTAAAATGCTTTACTATTTTTCTGAAAGTTATTCAAACATACTTTTGATAACAGGTACCAGAATAATTGTTTGGAAAAACTCTTCTAAACGATATGTCTTCAATATTGATACTGATTGAGACACTCCAACTAACTTTGAAATCACTATTTCTTTTTTCTCCTGGACTCCATATTATATCATCTATTTAATTAATCCTCATTATTTGTCTTTGGCCCGGTTTACTCTCTAGTGTTAAGGCTTCTCTTTGTGGGTTGTGTGTTGATGATGTTGGTAATGCGTTAATTTGTTTGAGTGAATCAAGGACTGTCTGCCAAAAGCGTTCATGTGTAATTCTTGTGGACAGATTTTTGATCCTACCTTGTTGGAAATATTCTACTTGATTCTAAAGTACCTCTTACAGTTGAATTTTCGTGAACTGATTTTGTTGTACACTACTTTTCTTCTACTTGAGAACTAATTTGGGCAACATTCTACAATAGCGTCCCAAGGGATGAGAATTCACTATTGACCTTGAGTCGAACAATCAGAAAAATGAGGGATTTTTGCATAGAAAACTACGTATATTTGCATAAAAAACCATGAAAAAACATTAAACAGGGTATTTTTCTCTAATATGAGATAAAAATATGTCCCAATTATAATAGAGAGTGTCAGTTTTTAAATTAAACCAATTTCTATACATGTATTCATCTAGGTGACTAAATATAACTTGGTTTTGAGAGCCATTTGTTGCTCTTATTCTATTCACTAATCGTCCCCAGAAACCCTATATTGAATTAGTATGAGTGTCTGTTCTGGGATCGACGAAATCATTGGAATGGTTAACTCGGTTGTGTATATATCTTAAATCCGATAATCAGTTTTATCCTGCCCATTCATCCGTGTGTATAGTAGTGCCAGGCATAACGAGTCTTTGAATAATAGGCAAAAGAGTGTCGGCACTCCGGTCTGGAATAAGTTCAATGAATCCTTTCTGAATTTGGGTGTTATAAATAACTCCCAATACCCAAACGTTGTTAGCTCTAGCAATTGTCCGCGATTGTATTTCTTCTTTATAAGCACTGTTTCGTCTATGTGAACGATAACACCCACTCCTCCCAACACTTGTGTAATATTGTTCATTTTCCATGATGGTAAATCTCGACAAAACTGAAACCACTGCACAGTCGACGTCAAGGTATTTTCTGTCTGAGCGGCAGTTGACCTCACTCCGGACTTCAAAATCCAGTAATGGCAAAGAAACAGTATATTCCCCAAAGAAAGTTCCTAGAAGACAATTAACTGAGAGTGTCATTTACCAGTACGAACACTCGTTCGTTTCCTACACTCAGTATATCTAAATATATATCCATCAATGACCTGTGAATAAGATTGCAGGCTCATTGAAGCACTGTAACTACATATACGAGTACGTCCTATCAATCCATTATCCAGACAGTATTGAAATACGTGATCTGGGTGAAATTTGCACCTGAGCTGATAAACAGCGTTCATTTTCGCGCTGAGATAATCAGCCAACCACTAGCCTGCATTCAAGGTCATTTGAGCGTTCGCACTCCTGGGATGATATTCTTGAACTTCACCTTAATTTGATCTAATATATATCTCCTAAGGCAGGATTGTTGAGACAATTTTGACTATTTGAGATGTTATATGTTGTTGTTAAATATTACCTGAGATTTTATTACAAATAAATGCCTTTTTGACGTTGTTTGGGGTATTTTATGACTATGAGTAACTCGAGGAAGTTTTGTTCAGTTATATAATAGGTGACTAAGATTGGTTTCCTGCCTTCAGACCACAACACGTCAATTTCAGTCGTTACAATATTTACAGGATTTTCATCATGAGCTGACATCAGTTAGAGAACCATTGGAAAACCAGCTGGGAGTACTGGACAGCTGTTTCGTCATCCTAGTTTGGGACAATATTTATTAGATTTAAAAAAAGTTAACCCTTGGTTACGTAAAAAAGGTTTATTGGAGACAAAACGATACATAAAAATGGAACAATGAAAATGTTGTATTGTACCGTATTTGTATAAATGAAAACTGAATGTAATTCAACCGGTTTTTAAAATATCAGATGGGAAAACATTCGCTTAAATTATTTCAAATTTGAAGAGACCACTGAAGCATGCAGTTAAGTTGAAGAAGAACTTTCAGTAAAATAGTATCTAGAGAGCTCACTTTTAGAATGCTAACACCATTTGTCAATCATGCTAAACAGTACACTTCAAGTACTATGATCACTATATGTCTGATGAATATTTAAATGTGTTACATAATGTTTTAAGCAAGCTAAAACATTTCACAGGCAACAAGAAGAGTCAAATATAGTTTTCAAGATACAAAACTTATGTGCTGTGGTCTGAATGCAGGAAACTGATCCCTTTCACCTACTGTACAGTTGACCAGAACTTGCTCGAGTCACTCATAGTCACAAAAATAACCCCAACGATAGCAAAACCGATGGTTTTTTGCAATAAACACTGCGCTACTACTTAACAACGATAATAACACATCAAACATTAAAAAAATTGCCTCAAAAATCCTCTTAGGCATCTAGACAGATTCAGTTTATTCTCGTATGCACAGTAAGTAGTGGACAACAAATTTATTTAAACTAAATCAACCCTATGAAGTACGTGAGAATCAAGAAGAATATCCTCAACAAGGTGGGAACCCTCAACCCTCTGAGGAAGAATCACACACCAAAAAATTCTCAAAGATACTTTAAAGTGAGAATGACTTTTACTCACTCAGACGAATTCACAATTCATAAAACAACACATTATCAATATCATCATCACACATGGACACAGAGAAGCATTAAAATGAGAGATTAAACAGGAAGCGAGACAAAAGACGATAAGGATTAAGGTGACAGATGGCATGCGAACGTGAGAACAATGATATACAGTGTAGGAAAAATGGATAGTAATTAATTACACAGGTAGTTGAAATGCTTAAATAAGCATGAATATCGTAAGTAAATCATTGAAGGGGGATTTTCCAAACGTTTTATCTTATTCCTTTACGCTCCCAGTGGAACATAGGGCTTCAAGCTGGAGCTTTGAAATTTCGGTAGCAGTGGTGTTGATTTTTACGGGGTGGGGTTGCTAGTCTCACACTATTCAACTTTCCCTCTTTGCCAGTCTTTTTACCGGCTTAGGGAGGTTTAGAAATGAGTCAACCGGGGATCGAGCTCAGGACCACATGAGGCGTAGTTGGCGAGCATTCCAGCTCTTTGCCACCAACGCACTTCCAAACAATTACTCCTTTATTCATCCTTTATTCATCAGTAGGATAAAATAAATTCACTGATATCCCTATCAATCTAATAGTCTACAGAAGTTCTACTTATTATTATTACTATTTGATTGTTTCAGGCTCAATTCTCTGAGATAACAATGACAGCCTATAGTGACAATGGTTGTGTTGTCAGTATATATCATGATCAAATACGCTCAAAGCCTTTAAGGTGAGTGAGTCTTGAACACAGTATACACTGGTTGTTTTCAACAACATTTTTTAGAATTTTTTAAATAAATTTCTAGTTCAACGTTTATTGTTTATCTTATTTTACAAAAGTTACTATAGTAACATATTAGTGTAACGAAAAACAGCAATGCTTTTTGTGCATAAAATAGAAGTCAGTGTATGCAGAATTATGTTTAATCTAAATAATAAAATTAAAGGAAATCCTGAAGGTAATTCATTATCTGAACTTATTTGTCTAGGTAGATAGTGTTGGAGATATATAAAATATGATAGTTTTTAGTAGTTTTAATCACAGCTAAGTGAATTATACATCTCATCTAACAGCTGTACGACAATGCTGCATGCAAAGTAATCCACATCGGGAAACTTACGGAATCCTTCGAAGTGAGGAAAGTAGTAACACAAGGCTGCCTACTATCGCCAATGATTTTCCTGATTGCAGTAGATTGGATAATGTGACAAACAGCGGGCAATGAGGAAACAGGCATAAAATGGACTCACACAAAGAACTTGGAGGATCTGGACTTCGCCGATGATGATATATGTCTGATTTCCCACAAACTGGAAGACATGCAAGCGAAAAGCAACAATTTGACAGAAGAAGCATCAAAGACAGGACTTCAGGTGAACATAAAGAAAGCACAGGTGATGAAGATTACTGGGCGACACCAACAGCAACAACAACAACAGACAACAATCAGCCAGTATAAATGGGAGGAGTCTGAAAGAAACAACCTCGTTCACCTACATACCTGAGAAGCATTGTTTCAACTACAGGCGGAATTGACGAGGATATCGAAGCAAGAATCGGAAAAGCAAGACAAACTTTCACTACTCTCAAGTCTGTGTGGAGGTCAACAGCACTCAGCATCAAAAATAAGATCCGGATTTTCTACTCCAATGTGAAGTCAGTGCTACTATACGGATGGATCAGAGACTTCCACTGCGCGTCATAACAGTTGTCTTCGCTCAATACAACGCTGAAAATTCCATGCTGTAAATTGTTATTGTTGTGGAATAAAGTGAATTATTATTATTATTAAAAAAAAGATCAGATGGCCAAAAGGGACCAGCAATAGGGATCTCTGGGAGCGAACCAACCCAGCAGGAACCGATTGTGAAACAATTAAGCAGGAAGAAATTGAGGAAGATTGGCCATACTCTGAGGAAACCATCAAGTGACATCACTAGACAAGCCCTCGAGTGGAACCCGAAAGGGAAGCGGCGATTTGGTCGTCAGTGCAAGGGTGACTTGGAGGAGGTCATGTGAAGAGGAGATGAAATCATGTGGGCAGACTTGGAGCCAGGTGAAGACTCTAGCAGAGAGCAGAACGCAATGGAGACGCACAGCTGAAGCCCTATGTTCCTCTAGGATTTAAAGGAAACAATAATAATATATTAATAAGTGAATTACTCAATAACATATGAAGGAGTTAAATAGCATAGGTCTGAACACACATTTTATCCCTGTAATAAAGCCTGATTGACTCAATGTGTTTGAATCTCAGTGAATGACAGTATTTCCAATGGGAGTTTCAAACGTGTTTCCTGACTTTCAGCTAGTCAGACTGGTAATTCTTTCTGATTAACCATCTGTTCTTCAGTATACAGCAAGTAAAGGTAGCTGATGATGAAAATCCGCAGTAGTCTGTTGGAAAATGCTATTTGTCAAGCGTGTGCCAGGTCTCTGAACTATATCGAAGAACTGACTGATTTGGCATTAAGGCTGAATATCCGAATCTTGTTTCTTATTCTGAGTACGATAGAATTCCACGATGATTTCAGGCTAATGAAAGCCTGTCTGAGTTTTCCGATGTTGGTTGTGTTTGACGTCGTCATCCATGTCGACTGCTTGTAGGTGAGATGATGCTGCTTCGATAAGTGAAAGTGGTAACTTCCTTTAGATACCTTCCGTTGATAGAGATTTATGCTAATATACATGTAAAACTTGGGCACTGTGTTAGTAAGTAATTCCATATTAGTTTGTTTATTAGATGTATCACACAGTGAAACAATATTATTTATTGGATGACAAGGTTTCGAACAAAATTTATTGTTCATAATCATTTCAGTTATAATCACACGACGTTGAAACTTGAGTTTTATAGTCTTGAGGACATAATGCTGGGAGTGCAGTTATGCCTGACTTCCACAGTATTTAAATTCCAGGGGAAAACATACAAACAAACTGACGGAGTTGCCATGGGGTCACCAATATCCCCGGTTGTGGCAGATATATTTACGGATAGGTGGGAAAAGATAATGATTGAAACGTTCAGCCCCACCCCCAAACGTATGATGAAGGCATGTAGATGACACATTCACTGTACTTAGAACACAGGATATAGATAGATTTTTCTAACACATTAAATCAAAGGTGGAGGCAATTCAATTCACTTATGAATTGGAAAGTCAGGAAGGGGGACTTCCAATGTTAGATTGTAGTGTAAAAAGGAAATAAGATGGGAAGCTAAACACTAGTGTTTACAGGAAACCCACACATTCAAACAGATATTTAGACTTCCGATCATGCAATTCTATGTCAGTAAAAATAGGATTGGTGAAATATTTAAGTGACAGAGCACAAAAACTAAGTAGTACCAAGGAAAATCTAAGACAGGAAGTGAGACATGTAAGAGAAGCCTTGAAACTTAATAATTACCCTGATAAATTACTCAGGAAATATGTAGGGAAATGTAAAAATAAAATAAATAATGATAGTAGTGATAGTGGTAATAATTATAATATTAATGACGATATGCATGTCAGATATGCGCAAGACAACACCAACAATAAGGAATCTAAATCAACAGTAGTAATTCCATACAAGGAAGGAACCTCGGAAACATTACGCAAAATTCTTAACAAGGCAGGCAGGAATAAAAGTGGCTGGCATTCAAACCAAAAACTCAATTAGACGTATGCTTGGTCGGCTAAAGGATCAATCCTGTGGAGCCTTTAAAACAAAACAATTTAGTTTATCTAATATCCCGTTGGAATGATTGTCAGGTCAGATACATAGGTCAAACTAGTAGAACAGGGGCAGTCAGACTAGCTGAACATAAAAACCTAGCAAAATCTAGATTAGTTGACCCAAATAAGATAAGAAATCTAGAGAATAGCTCAGCCATATTACTACATGCAATTACACACAACCATACAATAGGCTGGATGGAATAGGATGACAGTTTTAAAATCAAATGTCACAGGGTGTAGGGAGAGATTGATAACAGAAGCTTTGTTTATCGAATCAACTACAAATACGTGTAATAGGAATGATTCAACACCTGTCCACCCAGATATCTGGAGAATTCTACTACCCGAACGACGACAAATAGGAGAGAACAAAGAAGACTATAAAACTCACGTTTCGAAGTCGTGTGATTATAATTGATATGATTACGTATAGTAACAAATTGTGTTCGAAATTTTGTCATCCAGTAAATAATACTGTTTCACTGTGTGATAAATCTAATAAAAAAACTAATATAGAATTACTTACTAACACAGTGCCTAAGTTCTGCACATATATAAATCCACTTAACCAGCCCTCATGCTAAACGACACCAATTAATTCACTTCAATAAAGTTGAAATGGAATAAAATATTTATACTTTTTAAAGAGTTGGTCTGTAAGAATTAGATTTGTTTTTATGAGTCTGACCGTGGATTGATATCACTTAGAAAACCATTGAAAACCAACACCGGAGTACTGGACAGCTGCTTCATCCAATTAGTTTGAGAATCATCCAAAGTACGCACCCACCCCGCCACGGTTCGAATCCAGGACCTTCCGGTTACAAGGCAAGCTGCCTCGTATATCACTCAACCACTGGAAGCCTGTTCAATGGCCGCCAACCAAAGAATTCTAACTTCTACACCAATTTGTGATGCATTTAGCGCAACCACCATCCAATGTCATTGGTTGGAAATCCATCCTCACTTCCGACTATGTGGACCTCACTGGTGACGACTTCTCACTAGAACTCCGGGAAATTCTGTCCTGTCACCAGTCACTAGCAAGCATTAGAATAAACTTTCAAGATTCGGTATACGAAATTGCCTTGTAACCGGAAGGTCCTGGGTATCGATCCCCGAACCATGTGCATGGTCGGCGAGCGTCCTAACCGCTATGCCACCGACGCACATAGAACATTTTAATTTGAGTGTAGTGCAGATAGCAAAAGAATTGAAAAGTATATGCATCCACTATGTATTCTCGTATTCACTGTGAACAGATCATTTGATGATTCACATTCTCAAAAACAGCAGTATGAGTTTGTGAGTATCATTCAACTGGAAGGTGCATATGTAACTCATATAATGCTTGTCTAAATGCACATCTTACAGGTTGAAATAGCTGTCAAGTGAGAAGAAAAATAGAGAAAGAACAAGGAATACACTTTCATGTGTAAGTGTTTATTTTCGGTTGGAAGGATTCTCAAGTGCTTCATACATTTTATTCCCCTTAATGAATTTGAATAAAGCAAGAATAAAAGTTTGAGCAGAACAAAATGTTATCGTTATTGCTTATTTCGTTGGCTTCTCATCAGCTGCCTACAGCCCAAAGACATTAATTAGTAAGAAAGAAAAGATCAATCAATATATGCATACATAATAATAATAATAACAAACACTTTATCCCAAACAATAATAATCATTCAAAATTGAAACTTTTGGCGTTACGTAATCAGATGAAAGAGAGGATGAAAATATCCAGTTACCAGGACAAGGAGAGACTGATAGTTGTTTCTTTCTGAAAGCATAAATCGAGTTTCAAGCGCTTGATGGAGGTTATTTTGGCAAACTAAAGGAGAATTGGACTCTTGCCAATTTAAAATCTTGAATGGTCTGGCGATGTTCACCTCATGACCAGTGATCAGTCACTAGGGCATGAAGTCAGCCTCATATAGCCACTCACATTGGTACTAATTAATACCTTCATAAACACTGATTGATTGATTTCACCTAATATGGGTTCTGTATTTGTCAGAGTCTAATCTTTTTTTAAATTATTTTCAATTAGATCATTCAAGCCTGACTTTGTCCTGATACGCCAACATTCAAGTGATTCAAATGAAGACTGGCAACCTATACTTACTGGATTGATGTATGGCGGAACACCGAGTATGAATACACTGCACGCAGTTTACAATATGAAGAATCGACCATGGCTTGTAAGTGCAAACTCTCTTCGGTTACAGCCTTAGCTGTGATAGCTTTTTTTACCAACTTAAATGATTTATTAAAAATGATGAAATTTTTTCACAACTTAACAGATTATGTTGTTTTTATTAAGTTATTAATGAAACTTGATTTTTCATAGTTATGTAATTCAAGTTCCTAATCTACAAATTTGCAATGTACACAGTTTGAGAGTTGAGATTTTACAGCAGTTTCCTTTGGGAACCAAAATTATTAGGATCACAATACATGTGATCTGCTTGATAACATAAATGAGAATCAAGAAAGCAACCATACTTGCACAAAATTACATACTACTGATTGACTGAGGTAAGTAGTTGCATACCACTCAAAAGAACCAGATCCAGATGGTGTAAACACCAGACGTCCATTTCGCTCGTTTTCGACAGAGCCCATAATGAGTTGAAAAGTTTCGACTAGACTCAGGGAGACGAAACAATTCAATGAAATCCACAACAGTTAGTTTAAGCCAGTCACGTAGGGAGGTGTAGACTTCCTGGTTGAGGTCCTCGGCACGGTAAAAACCACTGTGTGCGTCTGTGGTACAGTGGTTAGGACTCTCGCCGACCATGCACATGGTCCAGGGTTCGATCCCCTGCCGACGCACACCCGATATCTATGGTCGGCCTGCAAAATTTGGGCTACCGATATCACATGCTGAAAATTCCATACCTGTACCAAAAAAATGCGGTGTGGAATCAAGCTGTAACCAAAACAAAATATGGTTGGAAAAAATTTGTGATATGGCTCAAAATCGTTCTCAATGGCGTCCATTCCTTGTGACTCATGATTTCAAATGGAACTATATCGTTCTTCGTTATTACTATCCCTTTGTTTCACACATCTGTTTACTGTCTTTATTATGCATTTCTTCTACTTTCTTCTCTTGTTTTGTGTGCTACATGGAGGGAGAGTGGCGACTTGAACTGCTGCACATATATGCACAGTTCTATGTCGAAAACAGACAGAAAAAATTCAAGCCACCCGAGATGTGTACTTTGCAAACTGCTAACTAATTTGCGAATTGTGAATCTGCCTTATGGTAGCAAGAATTTACTCAGGTGGCTAGCTGGAAATCAGCTAATTTGAACTAATTTGACTGTCTGAGCTAGAGTTAATCTCGGTAAATCGCTGATGAGCTGGGCCTCAAATGAGCGAAATGGCTGTCCAATGTTTAGATCACTTCGATTTGGCTGGCCAGCCACTAACCATTACTGGTTTGTATGAGTGTTACAGACAACTACTCACCTCAGTCAATCAATAGTATATAGTTTCACTCAGATATTTACATAATAACTGATACTGACTTTTATTATTCATGTCTTGTCACAACACCATTCAAAGATAAAATATATTTTATAATAAACGATTTCTCAAACAACAGTTACCGTCTAAGTATTTTTACTGAAGATGCTTTTTATGAGGTATTCCCAATAACTGAGATTAGAGCAGTACTCAACTGATACCTCACTTGTCATTTACTGATTTTTGAGATTACAGGATTTGTGGAGATTTTGGATTGATTTCAGTTTTCAGATTCTCGTTACGAACCAACACATCAGTCTGACAGACCGCTAGGAAATCAGCTGCCAGCACTGAATAGCTGTTTCCCCCTACTTTGAGACTCTTAAGAAGTGCGATCCCACGACCCCACCGCCAAGGATGGAACCCGGAGACTTCTAGTTACGACACCAAGTTCTGTCACTATTCAGCCGTTGTTGGACTGGAATTCAATGACCCGTGGATTTCAACTCTGTCAACTTGTGATTTAGCACTGTCCTTAGCAATGCACTCAATGAGCACTCGCTTTATCTTGACATGGCATGGATCCCACTAGTCACGACACCCCATTGAAGCTTCAACAAATCCATCCAGTAATCAGTGAGGGCAGCGCTATACCACTAGTTGACAAGGTTAGAATTTAGGAGTCACTGAATTCTAGCCCAACAATAGCTGAATGGTCAGGGAGCTTGATTTCGTAACCTGAAGAGCTCTGGGTTTGATCCCTGGCGGCGAGATCGTGAGTGTGCACTACTGAGGAGTCCCAAAAAACAACAAAACAGTTGTGCACTGCTCCTAGCTGGTATTTAATGATCTTTTTAACTGATCTGGATTCGTGACAAAAATCTAACTACTGAAATATTCTAATTAACTTGAATTCTTGTATTGTTTGTATTTCAAACATCAGTTATTAACATAGATATTCAAGTAGTTGTCAGTGTTGATTGTAATCTCACTTCTTCTGGGTTGTATTGATCCATTCGACACGAATACAAAAGAAGTGTTTCTCCTACTGACTGTTTATTTCTTAGTCTGTTTCAAGTTTAATTCAATGTTGACATCAATTAGAGAAACACTGGAAAGTCAGGGAGTATTGAACGGCTGTTTCCTCGTAGTTTGGGACTCCTCAACAGTACCCACCTACTGGGATTCAAACACAGAATCCTCTGATTACATGGCAAACTCGTATACCATTCAGCTGCTGGGAACTAATCCAGTTGCCTATGAACTGCGTCTTCCACCAGTTCTTGATTTTATCGTGACCACCAGACACTGTCGTTGGCGAGTATTTTTCCTTACACTCGACCTAGCAGACCCCACTAGTGACGATGTCTTACGAGAAGTTCAGTCAACCTCGTCCTATATCCAGTTACTAGCGAGCATTAGATACGCGTTAATCATATGCAGAAATGACCTACATAGTTGTTGTACTTGTGTATTGGGCATATTCTTGCTTAAAGTTACTTCACATTATCTGTGGTTAACGAGTTTGACATTATAGAAGTCACTTTTTCAAGACAGAAATGTTAGATAAAAATTTCAGTAAGTATCAATACTATACTAAACGGAATACTAGAAAATTATGCCTCAAGGTATATGAATCTTTCTTGAGTGATTTAAGGACACTGAATGAATAGCGAAACAATATTTATTCCGAATACTATTCAAATTAATGCTCTAGACTCTGTAGAAAATTTAACCTAACATCGAAAAAAATTCCCTTCGGAATCAGAAATTACGCTCAACTCAAAAGGAAATTTGAAATGATGAGCATAGAAAATATCGTGAATCTGATATCTTTTGGTTATAATCTAGTTTTAATGAAATGGGATTGATCCCTGTGAGATTTATTAACCAGGGGATTTCGCAAAAATTGTTATACAACTTTCCTCTCAAACCCACTCTTTCTAAAATTCATTGTTATAAGCATTTCTCTTAAGACGTCGTTTGCGCAAACAACTGATGCTTGGTAAATAGACTACGTGTATAAATTCATTGTAGCAAATATCGATTGCTAATTTATAATAGTGGTTGAAACACGTATAATTACTGTTGTAACTACAGAAGACAAAGGCCAGTCAACAGATCGTTTATTGAGAAAATCAGTAAATATTCATAGATTTTTACATACATTATTGTCAGCGGAGAAGCAACGTCTTCTGATTGGTTGTTTTCTTGCTGAAGGTTATTCTGTAATGCTTGTGACCGTTTCTCAAAAAGTTAAGCCACATATCTGCGAATCGTATTTGCACACGCTAAGTCTGCTGTGATTGGTTGGTGAGTTCCTCAAGGTTAAGCTTTGTTATTGTTTTTCTCATGACCGCGATTCGGGACGTAACATTGATGTGAATTTCTGTCTACAGTTTTGGCTTGTTCATGGCCAGCTCTCACCACATTATTATTCCCTTGGGTTTTGAGTGAAATGTAAGCCTTTAGCAATGCATCTCTGCTTTGTCATATTTTTTGCTCTCCATTTTAACTGGGCCCACGATTTCCCATAAGCTTTCATCTCCTACCCTCGCGATCATCTCCATATCACCCTTGTACTGAAGTCCTACTCGTCATTTCCCATTCATCTTCCACTTGAGTGATGACTTGGCGGGAGAGCTGTCACCGTCAGTGTGTGTCCATTTTCTTCCACATATTTGTTGGGCTATTGGTTGTTGACTGGTTCGTCTCCACAGCTCCTTGTTTCTAATTCTTTCTGGTAGGCCATCTGACCTTCAGTATGGAGCTAGCGAAGAGGGTAGCTGTTGATAACAGTCTACAGCCTGTTAGGAATCCGTCAAAGCACGTACTGTATTTAATAGACTTTATCTAGTATATAGGTGTGCATCATAACACACCGTCTTCTAACTCTGCCTTACTTAAACTTTACGCGAAACATTAATCATTTACAGAAGTCTCGAAATATGCCACTGATTTGCCGGCTATGCACAAGGGACAATGGCTAAAGTGTGTTAGCCAAAGATGAACTGATGGGTAAGAGATTCTATAGCATTCTTGTCAATTTAAAACGAACTAAATCATTCAACCAAAGTTGTAACAAACTAAGAATTCTGAACCCATTCTACCAAATTATATTTATTTGTTCCGTTTTATTGACTAATATTTTATTGGTACGGATAGATATTTCACAGACGGATATCAGTTCGAGAACCATTAAAAACCAGTACTGGAGTACTAGACAGCTGTTTTGCCCTAGCTTTGGACCCTTCGCTAGTAACTAACCACTACTGGGTTTAGAACCGATGAACCTCCGGACAGAAGGCATCCTGATTGACCAGTTAGCCACTGGGACCCGATTCAACGGCTCGTCGATTCCAACCTCTACCTATTCGTGATTTTAGCATAACCGCCAGCCAATGTCACCGTCAGAATTCATGGACCATTGGATCGGGTCTTAGTGGATAAATAGTCAACTAGCTCACCTTGTAACCGGATGGTCCTAGGCTGGAACCCTGGTGGTTGGGTATTCCTGAAAAGTCCAAAACGAGGAAGAAACATCTCTTCAATACAATCTGGTTTCTAATCATTCTGTAACTAATACTGATCCAAGGTCACACCTGAAACAAATCAAAACACTATAAACAAGCTCTTATAAATGTTTTAATTGTAGATATTCTCACGTGCTTTCGTCTTGTTCTAGATATAGTTTATAGTTAAATATACTCACACTTCATGTTTGACAATGTTTCTTTTTACAGTTTGCTCATCTACTCATGCTCAGAAATCGATTGGGTAAAGAAAATTTTCCTCTGATATCACAAACTTATCATACAAGTCATAAAGAAATGGTAAGTGCAAAATTTGGCCTTTGAATATATTAGTATAGTTTATTGATCTAATTATTAAGTACCCACAATGAATTAAAAAGATAATTGGCTCTTTCATGTAACATAAAAATTGGGTACATGTTTTCTTCAAAGTGAATGAGCACTAAGCAATCAATACCTTTAGTGCGAAAATGCTTTTTCTTCATATTATTATTATTATTGTTCTTGGTCAAACTGTAATGCATAATTGAATGACTTTCGGAATAACCAAGCAAGTGGTTGGAGGGTAATTCTCTAGAATAATGGGCCGTATATGTGCT